AAGTTTCACATAATGCCTGTGGCTATGTGAGAGTCAAGAGGAGGAGAAGTCCCGTATCAGCTCTTCAGTCCACATCCTACGTGGGGCCAGGACAGTGACACAACTCCTCTAAGGTACTGAGGAGTATGATGCTATGAAAAATCAGACTTTTATATGACAACAGGCAGAAACAAGCTCTCCATCAAGTCTTACGCAGTCTTTGCTTTTGAGTCATACCCTGGATGTCACCTGAGATAACACCGTATTAATTTAACACCAAAGTTTTAGTTAAAAATTATGTAAGATAGGCTTTGCAAAGATAAGAGCAAAAGCTTATCCTGAAGGAAAAAGGAGCCAGTAGCTGGGATTTTTTCCATGGGTCACATCAGTGTGGGGTATAAAGCTTCCAGCTTTTGTGTCACAACATCTGTGACAATGCTTCCATGCAGGCACCGGAGAGCAGGCACTTGCGTTTCTGGGCTGAGACTTACAGGGAGAATAAAGGAAAATGAAAAAGACTTTGGGCTTTTGTCAAGTCCCCAGGCCAGCATGCTGAGAAACAAGCAAAAAGCAGAGGACAAAATGGTCCTCTGATCTTACTGCATGGTCTTCGCAGCGGAAGCCCTGCTCCAGTGCATCTCTTCTCAGTAGGTGTATTTTACAACCAGCCACCAGAAAGCTCCTCATCAAAAGGACAACCCAGCGAAAGTTTAACTGAGATCAGAGTTCTTATTAAAATTCCTCTCTGATAACATTCGAGCACCTCCACAGCCCTGGAGCTTTACAGCCAGCACCTGGGCCAGGGCATGAAGGCAGGAGGCTCACCCCAACATACCCTGCACACTGCTCACAAGCACAAAAATGCAGTCACCAAACCTGTGCTGCTGGAAGAGGGCTGTTGCAGAGCTTGGTTTCATGGTACAAGAGGTTTCTAAGAAATAATGGTTTCAGGCAACCCCCCGCCCTCCTCCCCATTCCTCCTCCTAGCCCCTGGTCTGCTCCCTCTCCTCAATATGAACATTTATAGCTGGAAGGGGGAAATGATCTGGAATAACAACCCTGAAGAAAAAGAAAAAATCCCACAATGCATTTATTCATCACACATTTGATTTTAAAAAGCAGATCAGATCCTGGCTCTCCTTTCTTATGTGGCTGCACAACAGTGGCACCCCAGCGTGCCACCGGCTGATGTTCCCATATCCTTCCTCCTTTAATCTCTGCCTTTGCCACACAGGTAACACAACTGCCTTCTCACGTCCCTAATTACCAACTTCTGCAACCATAACGCAGGACAGTGCCTTGCATTGCAGTCTGGAGCTTCAAGATACTTTGTGATACAGATGGTGTGATAACATTTCTCAAAATTAGCCGACACAATTAGTAGTTCAAAATAAAACCACTGCAGGGTTTCCCTATTCAACTCAGAGGAAACGTCCAGGAGACTTTTGGACAAGTATTGTACAAGGAGAAAGTGGAAGCTCTAGGCTAGCCAACAGGGCTTAAGAAAAAATGCACCTCTGCAACAGACAGCAGTTCAATTCAAGCACTGCCAGCTGCAACAGTAAAAGTCTTCAGTGCAAGTATGGAGGGACTTCTATCAGTCCTGGCTTCTGTATTTCCTTTTTTTTTTTAATTTTTTTTTTTTTAAAGAAATACTGAAGTACATTATACTTATTAGACACCAGAAAACTACTAACTCTTTCTAAAATAGGTGTTCTCTCACTATGATTGTTAATGCAGGGTGCTGAGCTTTTTGTGGGGTAAGTTCTAGCTTAAGGAGACACCAGTCTAGGAGAGACAGACTCAGTTACACTGAGCACAAAAATGTTACAGGCTCCAGTGAACTCAATTCAACATGCAAGTCAAGAAATGCTGACAGTGCTTGCTCTAGATATATACCTGTGCAACTGTGATCAGAAACAGGCTTCGGGTCTCCAAATAACACGTCCTTTCACATTGTGAAAGATTGTATAAAACCCCCTTAAAGAAAGGCCCTGCAGCTTGCTTTTAAATTCAAGATCCTCTGAAGACAAGCTGCTAAAACACCCACACAGCTTAGTCTGGGGCATTTCCTAAGCCTCCAGAGTGAGCAAGCAGAACAAAGCAGGCTGGAGACAGTTCTCACCGGCAAGAGGAAGAGAGCACATTTGCATGAGCTACTTCAGTCCCCACAGCATTTCTTTTTTGTGTGTTGTTTTTTGGTTTGTTTTTTGGGTGGGTTTTTTTTTTTTTTTGCTTGCTGTTGCATAAAGAAGCATCTCTGTCCTGGGCCCTTCCCCCAGTGACCTTTTATTCTGAGCAGGGCAGGATGCTGCAAAGGAAGGACCCAAGGTGCAAAAACTGGCACAGCCTCTATTCACAGGAGATCTATCATCTGTCAGCAAGGGGGCTATTAGCAACTAGTGTTACTTACTATTTCTTTGCATGGCTCAGCTGGTATGTTTTACATCGAGCACTGCAGAGGTTACATAGGTCATTTAAAAGCAGAAAGTTTAAGGTTTAATCACTTATTGCCAAAAAAAAAACCCAAACCCAACCCACCAAACCAACAACTCCCTTACCCAGGACTTGACCCACAAGGAGACAAGAAACAAGGCAAACAGCACTAACCCCTCCCCTACCATGCAGTTGCTTTAATTTACAAGCAGGATGGGTCTCCCTTTTGTTCAGGCATCCAGCAGGCACAAGGATCCAGCAGGGATGGGCTCCAGGGATTTATACTGAAGAGGGGCTACAGGATGCTGGAAGCACACCCAGACAGAGGCAGGCTCAGAGAAACAGGGCACCATCAGCATTACCTGTCTATACGTGGGAATTGTCTCCAGATATACTTTCAGAGTCAAAGTCAGCCAGCTCTGCCTGGCCTTCGGGTGCTGTTTGGCTCCAGCTGTCTGTACAGTCTGATACAGCATCATCCTCACCCACCGTCACCTCTACCCAGTTGACGTCCGCTGGCTCCTCGTTCTCCTCACTGCCGTGGCCGTCGTGGCTGTTGCACTCCAACCTGTCCGTACCCTCCGCTTGATTCCCCAACAAAGAGTCTTTCAGTGGTTCACAGTCCCTTTTTGCTCTCACCACTAGTTTCCCCCCATTCTCTTCATTCAGTTTTTTATGCTCCTGGTAATGCTGCCGAGACACCTCATTACCATTCTTTGGACTCTCAGTGTGTTTTGATCCCTTTTTCTGGCTTTGCTCATTATGACCGTCAACAATGTACTGCTGCTGGTACTGGTCAATCCATTTAAGTGACCCTGTTCTTAGTGAAGACCGGTTTTCCTTGAACCAGCGAACTATTTCAGTTCTTGTGAGCCCAGTCTGAGATGCTAACTGGTCATACTCCTGGGGCGATGGCCACTGTGTCCTTGCAAATGTGCTTTTCAGTAGATGAGTCTGCTCTTGGGTTTTCTTAAATGTGGTGGAGGACCCAGATAAAGCACCAGGGAGCTGGGAGCTACTCAGCAGTTCTGCCTGGTTTATTGCACCATTGGGAGTTCCTTGTTCTTTAATTTTTCTGTATGATCCCATTGAGTCCAAGACAGCTTGCTCCATGCTGTCCCTTATCTTTCTCCGCTCAGAGAACCATGAATCTATCTCCCTCCTACTCAGCTTAGTCTCTACTCGAAGCCTGTCCAATTCTCCTTGGGTAGGAAAAGAGCATCTTAGGAAACTCTCCTCAAGGGCCTTAAGCTGCTCTTGGGTTTTCTCTTTGAATTTCTGGGGAGTAAAATCTGTGTATGGGTGAAACGAACGTCCATGTCGACCAGCTGAAGGTGCTATTTGATCATTCCCTAGAGTATCGCCAGGGATGTGTACAATGCCCCTTTGACTTCTGTACCTGTGGTCACTGAACCACTTCTTGATCTCGCTCCTGGAGAGACCCGTTGCCTCTATCAGCCGGTAGACTTCTGCATCATCGGGAAACTGGCTTGCCATGAAACTGGCCTTCAGCTCTGCTATCTGCTCCTTCGTCTTTTTTCGCTCACTGGCTGGCGTCAGTGGTACAGCAGTCAACTTGGCAGGAATCTCAGGCACCTGAACTACGTGAGGACGCTTGGCCTCTGGGGCACTTGACAAGGTCTGTATTGTCCTCTTTTGCCCCTGGTTTGGGGCAACAGCAAGTGTAATTGGCGAACAGGAAACGGTTGAACCATTTGACACAGGAGTCAGAACCAGACCAGTCTGGCCCAGTATCTGACAAGGCAAAGCTGTCTGGATGATGGGCTGAGGCATTTTTGCAGTTGTCAAAGGAGCTGGCAGGACAGTGATGGTTTGGGGAACTGCCTGGATAGTACCGTTGAACATCTTCTTTCTTGCCTCCTCCACTTCCTCAGGAGACCAACTTATACCATGCTTCAAACGTTGCGTAGCAAACCAGATTCGGATTTGTTCTTCTGGATGTTTTGATGCTGCTGTCAACCACGACAACTCTGCTTGCGTCGGGTAAGGAAATTTATTAAAGGAGTTGATCATGGTTGCATTAGTGTCCAGCGCAGAGTTGTATTTGGTACTGTTCAGAGGTACTGGGACCTTGGGGACAAGGTTAATATTTGGTGGCAGCTGTACAGAGGGCATAACATGGGCTAACACATCATGGAGGAGGTCTCCATTTATACAAGCAATAGCTTCAGTGGCTTCAGTTATGATGCGGGGGAGAGCGCCATCCACATGGTTTTCCGTAACTCCCTCTTCCGGCTTTTTGGGAGCCTTCTTGGTTTCCCCTTTAGGCTTTCCCAGTTTCATCATTGGCGTTTTACTTGCGCTAATTCCCCCATGAAGTGAATCATCACATTCTGCATTTTCTAGCCCACTGCTTGTGACAGTGGCATCGTTAGCGGTGGTCTCAATGGACTGCTCTAAAACAGTCTGATTATTGCGTTTAATTAATTTCAATTTAAAGTTAGTCTCTCCCGGGTGGTACTTTGTGTTGTGGTCAGATAAAGAATCGTATTTTTTGGTTGTGAAGTTGCATTCAGCACAGACATACAGGGGGTTGAGAATGACATTTGGATGCTGAGTGTCAACATGCTCTGTAAATTCATTTAAGTTTTGCGTTGAGTAAGGGCAGTATTTACACTCATAACCACCCTGGGGTTTCTTCGACTGTGATTCAGCTGGGGGCTTTGCCTCAACCACTTCACAGTCTTTGACTGAGCTTTCTGAAGGCCAATTTTTTTTAAAGTCCTGCTGCAGTGCACCAGCTCCCTTCTCTTTAGGAGCCTCTACGCCCTCGGTGCCTTCCTGCTCCACAACTTCAGAAGTTCGCACCATACAGGGAGTTGTTGACTTTCTTTTGCTAGCCATGGCAGCTGGCTGTTGTCCCAAATGGTGACTTTTTTTGACAGGGTGAGCAATCAACTCAGAAGATTTTGTAAATGGCTCCAACCTTCCTTGATTATTTTACTCTGTTCTGTTTAATGAAGAATTTCTGCCCCGGCTGTGACCATCACCTCCACCAGCAGACCTGTCAGCTGCATGACACCTGTTGAACAAAGCACACACCATTAGGCACTGATCTATAAAACACAGATTTAGCATAAAGCCACAGCTCAAGATATATGCATTTACAAGGCCATTTTGGACAATGCTGAACTGTTCCCCCCTGCCTCTGTCACCAACTTAAGAGTCAAAAATCTTCCCACAAAGAATAAAAGCAGTGGATAATTTGCAATGAAGTGTGCCAAAGGTAGAAAATGGCTTTGAAACAAATAGGATGAACAGACAGGGGATTTTATCTCCACTAGACTCAGTGTGTTTAGGTGGAAAAGAAAGAAGATACTGCTATAAATACTGTATCTTTTTATAGAAGCTGCAGTTTCTATTAACTATTATTTTGAAGCCTGCCGATTTGAAATTAAGTGCGATTTATATTAAACTTAATTACTTCCCACTGTCACTCACCTTGTAAATATGCCTACTAAATGATGGTGGTTACTAACGATGGGTGATTTCTAAATAAAGCTATAGGGCCTGCCTTGGTTGTAAAAGTAAAGGCAGAAAGAAGAGTTAATGCACATCAACATTTTCAAAGGTCTGTGTCTTGGCGAGAGGTGGGTTTAAAGAAACTGCAGCAGATCTATGGAGGCCTATCAAGTCTTTTCTGGAACAAAGTTTTGACAGAAGTAGCTAGCAAAGGTCACAGAAGCCCTTAGATCCCTTTTAAACAGGGTCCCTTCCTGTGACCCCGCTGATATTCCCCTCAAGCCCTGACCTGTGCACTTCACTCCCCACAGAAATAGAAAAATCCATTTTTAAGCATGATTCATATGTTGAAGTGGTTTTGGAAGTTCCCAAATGTAAGAATTCTGTAAAATATATTTTTAAAATGATCTGAGGTCAACATCAGTCAGCACAACCACAAAGGAAAACTACACCAGCTGTCTTACAATCTACCCGCACTCACTGGGGTGGGTGAAGGAGTGGAATTTTATTGTCATAACAGGCATCAATAAAAAAGAAACTGATATCAATCTCCTATTTAAGAAGATGCCTTTTCTAATCAATGCTTGACTCCAATTTGCTACTCTTCCCGATCAGACGGGCTCTGGATTCATAACACCTCCAGGCCTGATGGAAAACTCATCTTTTACAATCAAGGAGTCCTTGGGGTGGGTCAGGGGAAGCACCAGGGTCTACAAACTGGAGGAGGATGGAAAGTGGACATTTGCAGAACAGGTAAGATCTGCATTGATTTTTGTAGAAGCATATTAAATGGAGAATCTGAACTAGAGATCTAATGAAAGATGTCCCTGCCCATGGCAGGGGGATTGGACTAGATGATCTTTAAAGGTCCCTTCCAACCCAAACCATTCTGTGAGAGCCTATGATATCATGTCTAACCAAACACAGATTTTCTCATTGTGAAACTTGTAAATCATAGAATCCTAAACCAGTTTGGGTTGGAAGGGACTTTAAAAGATCACCCCCTAACCCCCCTGCAATGACCAGGGACATAGAATCATAGAATTGTTTAGGTTGGAAAAGACCTTTATGATCATCCAGTCCAACCATTAACCTAACAGTACCAAGTCCACCACTAAACCAATTAAGGGTAGAGTAATAATTAATTTCATGTTTCCTAGCTTGGTGGCTGGATTATTTTTTAATGAAAGTAAAACCAGGAATCATTAAGGTTGGAAAGGACCTCTAAGATCATCAGTCCCACTGTCAACCTAGCACCACCATGTCCACTAAACCATGTCCCAAAGTGCCACATCTACACGTTTTTTGAACACTTCCAGGGATGGTGACTCCACCACCTCTCTGGGCAGCCTGCTCCAATGCTTGACCACTCCTTCAGTAAAGAAATTTCTTCTAATATCCAATCTAAACCTCCCCTGGCGCAGTTTGAGCCCATTTCCTCTTGTCCTATTACTGGTTACTTGGGAGAAGAGACCGACACCCACCTCACTACAACCTCCTTTCAGGTAGTTGTAGAGAGCAATAAGGTCTCCCCTCAGCCTCCTCTTCTCCAGGCTAAACAATCCCAGTTCCCTCAGCCACTCCTCATAAGACTTGTGCTCCAGACTCTGCTTCACTGCTCTTCTCTGGACACGCTCTAGCAACTCAACATCCTTCTTGTGCTGAAAGGCCTGAAACTGAACACACTATTCGAGGTGTGGCCTCACCAGCGCTGAGTACAGGGGGATGATCACTTCCCTGCTCCTGCTGGCCATGCTATTTTTGATACAAGCCAGGATGCTATTGGCCTTCTTGGCCACCTGGGCACACTGCTGGTTCGTGTTCAGCTGGCTGTCAACCAACACGCCCAGGTCCTTTTCCGCCGGGCAGCTTTCCAGCCACTCTTCCCCAAGCCTGTATCTTCAACTAGATCAGGTTGCTCAGAGTCCCATCCAACCTGACCTTGAATGTTTCCAAGGATGGCACATCTACCCTCTCTGGGCAACCTGTTCTGGTGTTTCACCACCATCATTGTAAAAAAATTTCCTCCTTATACTAACTCTGAATCTACCTTCCTTTAGTTTAAAACCATTATACCCCTTGTCCTATCGCAACAGGCCCTGCTAAAAAGTTTGCCCCCATCTTTCTTATAGACCCCCTTTAAGTAGTGAAATGCTTGCAATAAGGTCTCCCCAGAGCCTTCTCTTCTCCAGGATGAATAACCCCAACTCTCTCAGCCTTTCTTCATAGCAGAGGCATTCCATCCCTCTGATCATTTTTGTGGCCCTCTGAACTATTCCAACAGGTGCTGAGGGTGCACTCCATCTCACTGTTTATGTCATTGATGAAGATATTACACAGTACTGGTCTCCATACAGATCCCTGATGGACACCACTCACCACCAATATCCATCTGGTCATTGAGCCATTGACCACTACCCTCTAGATGTGACCATCCAACCAATTCCTCATCCACCAAACCGTGCACCCATCAAATCCGCATCTCTCCAATTTAGAGATGGATGTTGTTGTGGACCATGTCAAAGGCCTTATAGAAGTCCAGATAGACGACATCTGTAGCTCTTCCCTTGACCACTGATGTAGTCACTTCATCATAGAAGGCCATTAGGTTGGTCAGGCAGGACTTGCCCTTAGTGAAGCCATGCTGGCTGTCTTGAATCATCTCCCTGTCCTCCATGGGCCTTAGCATAGCTTCTAGGAGGATCTGTTCCATGACCTTCCCAGGCACAGAGATGAGGCTGACAGGCTGGTAGTTCCCAGGGTCCTCCTTTCTACCCTTTTTAAAATAGGTCCAATGTTGCCCTTTTTCCAGTCACCAGGGACTTCACCTGACTGCCACGATTCTTCAAATATCATAGAGAGTGGCTTGGCAACTACATCAGCCAATTCCCTCAAGACTCTAGGATGCCTCTTGTCAGGTCCCATAGACTTATGTATGTTCAGGTTCCTCAGGAGGTTACGAACTTGATCTTCTCTTACAGTGAGAGGGACTTTGCTCCCCCAGTCCCCGTCTTGCAGTCCATCTGCTCGAGAGGTGTGGGAAGAGAGGTTGCCAGCGAAGATCGAGGCAAACAAGTTGTTGAGTACCTCAGCCTTCTCCTTGTTTGTTGTCACCAGTTTGCCAGTCTTGCTCATCAGGGAGGGTACGCTTTCTTTGACCTTCCTTTTCTGGCTGACATACCTGTAGAAGCCCTTCTTATGATTCACTGCATCCCTTGCAAAGCTCAGCTCCAGCTGCACCTTGACTTTCCTGACCCCATCCCTACACAACCAGGCAGCATCCCTATACTCTTCCCAGGATACCTGTCCCTGCTTCCACTGCCTATACATTTCCTTCTTGCCCTTTAGTTTGACCAGCAGGTCTCAACTCATCCATGCTGGTCTCTTGCCTTCCTTGCCTGATTTCTTACACCTGGGGATAGAGAGCTCTTGTGCTTTATGGAGAGCATCCTGAAAGATCTGCCAGCCCTGTTCTGCTCCCTTGTCCCTGTGGGCAGTTTCCCAGGGGGTCCTACTGGCTAGCTCCTTGAAGAGCTGGAAGTTTGCTTTCCTAAAGTTCAGGGTCCTGACTTTACTCTTCACCTGAGCCATATCCTTCAGGACTGTGACCTCCACCAGTGCATGACCACTGCAGCCCAGGCTGCCTCCAGTCTTCGCGTCACCAATTAGCTCACTTGTGTCAGTGACCATCAGGTCCAGTATTGCATCCCCTCTGGTAGGTCTGTCTATTACCTGGTTTAAGAAGTTATCCTCAATGCATTCCAGGAGTCTCCTGGATTGTCTGTTGCTTGCCATGCTACTTTTCCAGCAGATGTTGGGGTGGTTGAAGTCCCCCAGCAGGACTAGAGCCTGCGAGGGTGAAGCCTCCTGTAGCTGGAGTAAGAAGGCTTCGTCAGTAGGCTCCCCTCGATCAGGTAGCCTGTAGCAGACACAAGGTCCCCTTTGTTGCCTCGGTCTCTGATTCTTACCCCCTAAGCTTTCAACCTGCTCATGGCTATTCTTCAGAGACAGCTCTTCACACTGTACCTGTTTCTCGATGTAGAGGGCAACCCCTCCGCCCCTCCTTCCTGACCTGTCCCTTCTGAACAGCCTGTAGCCATTGATAGCCACACTCCCGTCATGGAATTTGTCCCACCAAGTTTCAGTAATGGCAACTAGGTCGTAGTTTTCTAGCACCATGGTGGCTTCCAACTCCTCCTGTTTGTTGCCCATGCTGTCTGCATTGGTGTAGAGGCACTTCAGCTGAGCTGTCGGCCATGTCACCTTCTTAGAGGAACACCCCTTAATTCCTTTGAGGTGCTTCACTGGTGTTTCTCTGTTGGCTCCTATTACACCTCAGGAGCCCCTGGTTCATCTCTGTAAACTTCAAGCGTGATGCAGTG